AAAAATAGCTAAATCAACACTTGGACCACTATGACTTTGTATACCTGATAAAGGAGGATATAAAGTTCATCCTGTACCTACACCATTTTCTATTCCACCTGCAAATAAAAATAGCACAATACTAGGTATTAAAGATAAATAACTAATATTATTAAGTCTAGGGAATCCCATATCAGGACCTCCTAAACCTAAAGGAAGTAAGAAATTACCAAAACCTCCTATTAAGGCTGGCATAACCATAAAGAATATCATAATTATTGCGTGAGCAGTAATAATACTGTTATATAGTTGATTATCGGCAATAAATTGTACACCAGGTCCAGATAACTCTAATCTGATCAATACAGAAAAAGCAGTACCTACTAATCCTGAAAATAATGCATATATTAAATATAATACACCAATATCTTTAGCATTTGAAGATAAAAATCATCTTTCAAATCACATACTAATACCAGATGTTTTTATATTTAGGTTGTTGTAGTTATTGTTATTATTTAAAATAACATTACTTTTAATGGGTTCAGAGGAATAGGTCATATTTCATCTAAAATTCAGTGTAGCTTAGTTTTTAAAAATAATATATAAATATTATTTTTAAAAAATATAAACAAGTTTTATTTATTACACTGTTATTATTTTAGTTATGTATTTTATTAGCCACCTAAATCTTTTAAAGTAGAGATGTAAGTTGTTTACTTATACTACTTTAAAAAATAAATAAAAATAAAAGTAGTTTTAGTCTATTTTGTTTTAATAGCAAAACCACTAAATATTAGTTTGTATAAATAAAGGGTTACAATATTAACCCCTATGTAATAAAGGATATGAAGGAGTTGAACCTTATATTTATGATCTGCAATCAAAATGCATAGCCCTATGCAACATATCCCTTTTTAAGTAGGGGGAGGGTGGTTAGGGTATGAGCTTTAATGTAAATAAATTCTTCTTTGCATTGCAAATAATATTTATAAGGGAATATTTTTATTTAAAATAATACCTACTACATAGATGTCAGTTATACTTATTGTAAAGCGAAATCTCTCGCTTTATCAAAATAAATAAGAAAGTGTTAATAGTGATCTAATTGATTATTTAATTAAATTAAATTTTATTATACCATAATATCCCTACAAAAATATAGCAGTAACATTCATATATTCTATCGACAATATTACAATTTATATTTATCCTTATACTTATAATACACTTATTGAATACATATAAAGATATAAATATATAGTAATGTAATGTACTTAATGGAATGGTATGATATATTTATAATAGATATTAACAATTAATTAGATAGTACTCGATATATTTAATAATAGATACTATATAAATTTATTAAATTGGTATATATTAATACATAGTAATGTAATGTAAATTTAATTCTAATAATTAAAATTACAACCCTTTGTAATATTTTATTAAATAAACATTATTACACTATAAAATTCTTATTAGTTTAATGGTAGAACAAGATACTTCTAATATCTGAATCTAAGTTCGAGTCTTAGATAAGAATTACTAAAAAAAATTTTTTATTTGAGTTTGATGATGGCTCTGATTGAACGCTATGCAAATGCTTGACACATGCTAATCGAACGTCAATATTTAATTTGTAAAAATTATGTATATTGAAGTGGTGTACAGGTGAGTAAGTGGTATTATGGCTACCTAAGAGTAAGGCAAAATAAATCCCTTATACTAACAATTTGTTTTTATATATTAATACTAAATCTAACCATTACCCCAAGCGCTGCTAAATTGAAGGTTAGGTCGATAGGTTAATATATAATAATAAAATATGTTTTTGAAAGAAAAAGTATTTCGCTCTTAGTTGATTATTAATAACCATCGGATAAGTAGTAAATATGGTAATGTCATATTTAGCTTATGTCCGTAGTCAAGACTGAGAGGTCTATTGACCACACTGGGTCTGAAAAAACCCCAGTGCGTATAGTACAGCAGTGAGGAATTTTGGTCAATGGCCTAACGGCTGAACCAGCAACTTGCAGGAATGAGAGTTAATATAAATGATTTATTAACTTGCTTGACTAGGTCTTATAAAATTCTGGATAAAGCTTATAATGAAAACTTTATATCTATAGGTCTCGGCCAAATCTTGTGCCAGCAGCCGCGGTAAGACAAGGGAGACGAGTGTTAGTCATCTTTCATCTTTAACAGGTATATAGGGTACCTAGACGGTGTACAAAGGCTTATAAAAGTACCTATTACACTTGAGTTTGATATGTGAGAGGAAAATGTCAGAATTATTGGAGTACAGATGAAATCGGCTAATACTAATAAGACTGATAACGGCGAAGGCAAACCTCTATGTACAAGTACTTAATTTATTTTAAACTAAAAATAAATGAAAAAAAGATTTAACAAAATCATATATTTAAGAAAAAGTACTATAACTGACGTTGAGGGACGAAGGCTCAGAGAGTGAAGAGGATTAGATACCCCCGTAGCCTGGGCAGACAATGATGAGTGCCATAGGTTAGCTTAGGCTGAACTATAAATGAAAGTGGAAGCACTCCACCTCAAGAGTAATGTGGCAACGCAGGAACTGAAATCATTAGACCGTTTCTGAAACCAGTAGTGAAGTATGTTATTTAATTCGATAATCCTCGAATAACCTTACCACAATTTGAATGATCTAAAAAAAAGAGGTTTACCTTTCTATGTAAACCTAAGGTTTAGACCACATGCGTTGCATGGCTGTCTTCAGTTAATGTCGTGAGATTTGGTTAGGTCCATTAAATTAACGTAAACCCTTGTTTTATTTAATATAATAAAGCAGCTCTCCGCTTACAATTGGATGTGATAATAGGGACTAAGACAAGTCATCATGGCCTTAATATTGTGGGCTATAGACGTGCCACATGTACCTTTACAAAGGGATGCAATAATGCGAATTGGAGCTAATCCCTAAAACAGGATAAAGTATGGATTGTAGTCTGAAATTCGACTGCATGAAAAAGGAATTACTAGTAATCGTGAGTAATCACATCACGGTGAATCTTATCTCAGATAGGTACTAACCACTCGTCAGGCGCTGAAAGGAGTATGTGCAATAAGTTTGGTGGCTGTTGTTTGGTATTCTAAATTTATAGGTTTAGATCTTTTGACAGAAAAATCTTCGTATGCGTGACTCTAATTGGTGTTAAGTCGAAATACGGTTCGGGTTGGGGGAACTAGCCCGGGATTAATTTATATTAACGATACACCCAAAAAAAGCCTGTGCAGAGAGCATAAATATGATTTTATTTATATGGTTCAAATCCATAGGCAGGCTCACAAATTATTTATCTTGTGAATATAATAAACTTTTAGAAGTTTATATACTTTTTATAAGTTAAATACTTTTTAGAATTTAACCTTTATTAACAAGGGTTTTATATTGTATTATTACTTTAAACTATAAAAAAAAATTATTTGCATTGTAAAATAAAGGAGAGTTCCTTTATTGGTAAGAAGGGTTGAGCTGTAAACTCAATAGTTGTACACTTTTAAGAGTTCGAATCTCTTGTCTCCTAATTTCCTAGTCCTTAGATATTAATACCAGAGTGATATTAGTACCAGAGTGATTTACTCTTTTATGTTATGCAGTTTAAATTTCTAAGTAAAATAGCTTTTTATATGTTTGTGGCTAATTTGTTTTTATTATTAAATAATTTATTTAGATAATTACAAAGATTTTTTTTATATTTAATAGCCTTTATAGCTCAATGGTAGAGCGGAATACTGTTAATATTTTGATAAATGTTCGATTCATTTTAAGGGCTTGACATAATATGGTATTATTTAGTTTTAAACATTTGTTACAACAATTTCATTATATAAACCTATTATTTACTTTCAAACATTTCTTACACTTACAAAAATTTATTATATAAACCTATTAGATAATTCATTAACCATAGTTATTATTATATAAGATTTGTATAATTTTTAATTATTGTTATTCTAATAGTAATATAATAGATATCTAATAAGAATGGTTATGAAACTGGTAACTAACAATTTTATATGTTGTATCTAGTTAATGAAATTACATTTAATGGTTATAGTGTATATAATTTAGATTTGTTACACATAATTGCCATATTATTCGGTATATTAGTTATTATAAGTAAAAATCCTATTGTATCTGTTTTATTTCTAATAGGTTTATTTTTATCTATCTCTGCTTATTTAATCTTAACAGGGTTAAATTTTATAGGACTAGCTTACTTATTGGTATATATAGGGGCTGTATCTATATTATTTTTATTTATATTAATGTTAATAAATGTAAGAATATCTGAATTATTAATAGACAGTATTAATAGTATACCCTTAGCTATATTATTAGGTAGTTTTTTTAATTATTTTGTTAATAATGTTTTACCTAACATGGTGATGACTAATAGTTTATTTTATAATTTTAGTGTAAAAAAAAAATTAACTAATGTAACATCTGTGTCATGAGACGGATATTTAGCAGAAACTTCTCATATATCAAGTATAGGAAATATATTATATGGTAATTATTCTATATGATTAATAATTACTTCTATTATATTATTATTAGCGATGGTAGGTTGTATAGTAATAACTTTAAAAGAGAAAAAATAATGTTTAAAAAAACATATAAAAACTAAAGTTACCAATAATCTTTAGTTTACACCTAGTTCTCTTAATTTTAGTGTTATTAACTATAAGGGAGATTTTGTAGAATTTAATTTTATAAAAAAGAAATTAGCTCAATTGGTAGAGCATCCGTTTTACACGCGGCAGGTTAAGTGTTCGAATCACTTATTTCTTACTACTTATGATGATAAGTATATCTATAGAGATCTTAGCTTAATGGTAAAGCGTATGACTTTTAATCATTATTATAAGGGTTCAAGTCCCTTAGATCTTATTAATATATACGGCTATAGGTTAATGGTAAACTCATCGTCTTCCAAACGAATTATACCGATTCGAATTCGGTTAGCCGTATAGAGTTAGTAACTTAATTGGTAAAGGCCTTTCTTGTCACGAAAGGAGATGCTGGTTCGAGTCCGGTCTAACTCGTATTTTAAAATTGTATTTAATTTAATATTGTATTAAAAATATTAAAACTTTTAAAAATACTATAATTATAACTAAAGGAAAAGTTGCTATTGGTAAGGCGAGATATTTGCTAAATATTGTGTTTAACACCTGGTGGTTCAAATCCACTCTTTTCCGAAAAAGAGTATAGTTTAATTGGTAAAATAGGAAGCTTCAAACTTCAAATTTCCAGTTCAAGTCTGGATGCTCTTGCTATAAACATATTATATATTATTTATGTAATTAAGGTTCCTTAGCTTAATAGGTAAAGCGCATTTTTGATAAGGATGTGATCGACGTTCAATTCGTTGAGGAATCAATCAGTGCGTTAGTTAAATTGGTATAATGACATGCTACGGACATGTTTTTACAAGTTCGAGTCTTGTACGCACTTTAAGGGTAAAGAGTGTATTTTATGTTTTAATATTTTACTATACATTGAAATATGGGCTTTATAAATTAATAGAGAATTGACTGAGTGGTTTATAGTGATAAGCTTGAAACTTATTTGGTTGAAAAACCACATCCGTTCGAATCGGATATTCTCTGTAATGTATTTTTTTATAAATATACGATGTTTTTTATAAAAGATATTTAGTATTATAAGCGGGTTAGAGCCAGGTTGGTTAGGCGCCTCATTTGGGTTGAGGAATTGTTATGTTCGAATCATAATAACCCGATATATGATTTAAATAATTGTATATATAAATATATAGTAATGTATTTGATATGTAATGTATTATTTCATAATTTTAATTTCTTATAAGTATTTGTTATATATTTTAAGAATTAACTTTATGGCAAGTATATAAAGAGACTATTAGGCAGATTAAAAAGCTGTATATTAATTAAACATGGATAGTACCATGGTAAAATTTTCGACATAAACGGAGTGAATTGAAGTATCTTAGTAGCTTCAGGAAAATAAATCAAACGAGATTCTATTAGTAGTGTGAATGAAAATAGATAATAGGCTACAAGTAAAATGGGTTAATCTGTTTGAATAAAGGGGGAACCTTCCTCTAAGCCTTAATATAATATACAAGAGATAGAGAACAGTACTGTGAAGGAAGAAATATAAAATAGTAGTCTTATAAGCAGCTCAAGTATGTTTAATAAACATATGAGAGCGTACCTTTTGTATAATGGGTCAGCAAGTTCTAATTAGATGCAAGCAAGTAAGTAGAGATAATAGATAGACCTCCTAATAAAAGTTAGAGAGTTTAATATTTATCAAATTTGCCTAGATAATCCAATTATTAATTAATGAATAAGTATCTAAATAGAGACCCGAAGAGTAGTGATCTTACCATGGTCAGGCTTATAAAAGGCCGAATGGCTTGTCGTTGTAAAGACATCCAAAGAACTGTGGTAAGTTAGTGAAAGACAATCCTGACTACTATAGCTGGTTTTCCGCGAAACATATGTAAGTATGTGGTTTAATTACATCATAGCAGGTACAGAACTGTGATCTCGGACAATTGTGCATTATTAGCTTTGGGGGATTTTATTAACCTTTAGGTAATATGCCCCTATTGGCTTTTAATGCCCTGTGCATATGGGGGGGTCGTGAAGACTCTATTCGCGAGTATTTGCTCTCGGAAGGGCAATGATGAATGTTGAACTATCAGACATTTAACGATAAGGTTGTATGTCAAAAGGGAAACAGCCCAGAACAAGTGTTTAAGGTTCCAAAGTTTTTGTTAAGTGAAAGTAAGGAAGTATTTAAACTATACAACCAGGAAATAGGCTTAGAAGCGGCCATTTTTTTAAAGATCTCGTAACAGAGCACTGGTTCAAATGGTTAGTTATTAATTAACCTTATAAGTTAAAAGCGCCGAAGATATAACGGATCTAAACAAAACACCGACACCTTGTCCATAAAATAATAGATTTAATATTAAATCTATTTTAAATATACTTGGACTCTGTCCATGTGTTTTTTATGGGGTAGCGGAACATTGGGTACATTAAGATAATAATAGAAGCAAAAGTTTTGTTGACATTAATTGTTAAATAGAATACAAATATCCCAAGTGAGAATGCTGACATGAGTAACGAAAAAGAGTAATTTAAAAAATTCTCTCGCCTTAAGCTTATGGGAATAAGAATCGGTCTCTAAATTTAACCTAAAGGGTAAAATGATGAGGAAATAATGTTTTGACAACATAAACTAGTTGAGTAAAATGTTCTGGAAAAAAACATATTTCTGAAGGAATTATATGAATTCCAAGAGTGAAAAGAGAAAAGGGTTAATACCCTTTTTTCTTAGCAAATAAACTGAAAAGATGGCTATAGCTTATTTTAAATTTATATTTAAAATTTTATATTAAGAAAAAAACCGTACCTAAAAACTACCACAAGTAAGCTAGTAGAGAATACGAAGGCGTTTGAGCTAACAACCATTAAGGAACTCGGCAAATTGACACCGTAACTGAGGGAGAAGGTGTGCCATTCCTACTGATTAATATCAGGATAGGAAGAGGAGACATAAAATGGTGTTGCACGACTGTTTAATTAAAACACAGCACTTTGCGTAAGATGTAAATCAATGTATAGAGTGCGCTATCTGCCCAATGATGGCTGGTTAACGGATTTACTTAGACAACTAAAATAGTTTAGGTTTTGAAGGAACCCCCATTTAATGGCGGCCTTACCTATGAGGGTCCTAAGGTAGCGAAATACCTTGGCATTTAAATGATGTCGCGCATGAATGATCTCACGATGCAACAGCTGTCTCAATGGTTGGCTCAGTGAAATTGGAATGGCAGTGAAGATACTGCCTATCTCTAGATAGACGAGAAGACCCCATGCAGCTTTACTGTTACTAGTTATAGGGTATAATGTAACAGGTATTAGTGAATAAGGTAGTTGCTAGACACAATTGAAACACCTTTACTCTGGTTGTTATATCAGTAGAATATGTTTACACTCATATTGTTTACGGACGTCTGAAAGTAATCCAGAAAAGGAGATAAATCTCAGGAGACAATGGCTAGCAGATGGTTTATGCGGGGCACAGATCCCATAAAGAGTACCTGGGAGTATCCAAATTTAATTTTGTAATATGCTATACGCAAAATATATAGAGTTTTTATTAAATAATTACTTTATGTATTTTTAAATTAATTATATTTAGTTTGTTATTTTTTATATTTACTTTTAAGTATCTATAATTAATTCAGTTATATTTCTATTTGAGTTAGAATTAAAACAATTTAAGCTAAGTAAGATTTTACCTATGTGGAAAATAGGTGTATATATGGTATTAATCATTAATAATTACTAAAAATTTTACATTTAAAAAAGATTTTTTTTTTAAGATAATACTATCGGTTATTTTTATTTAATCATAAAAATGATATTGATATATACTTCCAAAGTTTAATGGCTTAATCTTGCTTTACTGTTTGACATACACGTCTATCAGTTGCGTAAGCAGGGCATAAAGACCGCAAGACGCAGTAAGGAAAGGTCTTGTATTATTGAAAAAGCTACGCTGGGGATAACAGGCTAATTGCGCCAGAGAGTACAAATTGAGTGCGCAGTTTGGCACCTCGATGTCGGCTTAGCTCATCCACATGAATGTAGGAATCATGAAGGGTACGACTGTTCGTCGATTAAAGAGCTACACGAGCTGGGTTAAATACGTCGTGAGACAGTATGGTTTCTATCTTCTAGAGGAAATTAGAGTAAAATAAGGATAGCCCCTTCGTACGAAAGGAGTTGGGTATGGTAACCTATGGTTTACCTGTTGTTTATACGCTAAGATATTAAAAAGATGATGATGAGAATAGGTTATTCTTAGTAATGGAGATTGGGCATCTCCTGAATAAGAACAGTAATATAAATTAATTTGTAAAAATTAATTTCCTATATCAATACTCATCACACCTAAATAGGGTTGGTAATACTTAATACTCAAGTATTTATGTATAGTATAGGCACGGCAGGAAAGCTATGTTAGTTAAGATAAGTGCTGAATGCATCTAGGCACGAAGCTTACCTTAGGATACTCTTAGAAACGTAGTATAACATTACGATCCGCACGTATGTTAGTTATAACATATTAGACTGTAATTATTCCTAATTTATAGGTAACCTTTTGCAATGGATGATAGGCTTTGGCTGTGTAAGGGCTTTGATGTTCTCAGGTATAAAGTACTAATTTTTGGAACTAGTCAATAAAGTTTGGTCCGTGGTGAATATCAGGGGCTAGATGAGACAGTTGATAATTACAGGTTTTCACTTACTAAATAACATACTTATCATAAAAATACATTTTAGCCTGGTTTGCATAATAGTAATGCACCCGTTTTGTAATCGGAAGATATGAGTGCAATTCTCGTACTGGGCTAGTTACATATATTTAAATTAATGCGGATTAATGTAATAGTAACATACCTGGCTCATGACCAGGAAATAGGGGTGCAAATCCTTTGTCCGCATATCCTCTGTACATATAAAGGCTATAGCTTAATAGGTAAAGCAAGCTGCTCATAATAGCTCAGATGAGTGTTCGAATCATTCTGGCCTTATAAGGACCTCCTGTTTATTAGCTAATCAACAGGTTAAAATTATAAAATCTTAGAGAGCGAGAGCTAATTATTTATTATATAAATTGTATGTAATAAATATTATTAACTGTAGCTTATATAAACTAACTTAAAAATAGTTTTTTTAACAATGTACAAAAAAAAATCCGAGTGCTGGAATTGGTAGACAGGACAAATTTAAGCTTTGTTGACATTATGTCGTGAACGTTCAAGTCGTTCTTCGGATAGGGCTTAAAATAAGCCTAAATAATAACTTTTACGATAAAATTTGATATACTTTTTTATAGTAATTTATATATTATATATTATATAACATATGCTTTTTATAATTTTAAGCTACCATTTCAAGCTATTGTTTTAAGCTTTTATATAAGCTCTAAGGCCCAATAGTCAAGTGGTTAAGACGTAACATTTTCACTGTTAAATGCGCGGGTTCGATCCCCGCTTGGGCTTATTACTAAAAGTTTATAAACTTAAGGGGATATAGTTTAATTGGTAAAACTGCGATTTTGCATATCGTTATTTTAGGATCGAGTCCTAATATCTCCATTAGTATTTAAATATATTAAGCTCGAGAAGCTCAACCCGGTAGAGCGGAACTCTGAAGATGTTTAGGCTATAAGTTCAAATCTTATCTCGAGCACACAATATTTAAATTAAAAAATAAAAATGGGTATGCTGAAATTGGTAGACAGGTCCCGCTTAGGACGGGGTGAAATTAATTCATATAAGTTCGAGTCTTATTACCCATACAATACTTATTTCTTATAATTTTGTTAATTACGTTTATTTTTAAATAAAAGAATTATTTTTAACTAAAATAACTTTTTTTAGTATGTAGTAGACTAATGGTAAGTCATAAATTTTTGGTATTTACTTATGGGTGTTCGAATCACCCCTACATAGAACAAATTTAAGGTGGATATAGTTCAATCGGTAGAACAACTGTATGTGGAACAGTAAGTTCCCTGTTCAAGTCAGGGTATCCTCCCCTCGCTTTACATGGTTAGGTTTATCCATTTTTCTTTGTGTTAATTTATCTTAACCTGGTTAGGGCTCTATTTCATTGTGTTACTAATGAAATGTTTATTTCTAGTAATATTTTTATCTTTACAAAGAGTAAGCCAGGATAGTTCAACTGGTAGAACATTAATTTCATGCATTAATAGTGGGAATTCAAATTTCTCTCCTGGCTGACCCACATAAATTTTATTATTTATGTTAGTGTTATCTAATTTGCTTCGGTTTATGATTTAGAAAAATTTAAACCCTTAAATCTGAGTTATCCCCCCATTTTACAAATATTTTATTAATATATTTAATGTTAAATATATTTAAAAATAAACAAAATACTTTTAATGATCAATCATTAAGTACTAATTACAGCCTCGATTATATAAATAAAGAAAAAAATCTTAAAATACAAAATAAATCTGAGAAAGATGAATATAATAACACTATATATTATCCATCTTCAAGTAAAGAATGATTCAGCAGTGTATATAGTTACAATAAATCATATATTAAACCATTAGTGGTTTTTGATCTTACATTAAACAAACTATTTCCAAGTTATTTTAATATGTTAAAAGATAAAAATAGAATACTTTTTAAACGTAGACGTGATAATAAGAGTCGTTATTCAGCTAATAAAATATACGTCAGTAGAGCTGAATTAAAACATACAAATACTAAACTTCTTATTATACTTTCTACATATAATAAACAAAAATCAATCATATTAAGATGAATTAGGAAAATTGTATATCTTGTGAGAATATATAAAATACTAAGTGAATCAAAAGATAGATATGTAGTAAAATATAAACATATCCTTAGAACATTATTAAAAAGTATGACACACCGGGCTAGAATAATTACTAGAATAATAAGAGTTGGAAAAGGAAATAATAAGAAAGAGAGAGAAAAAAGAAAAGTATATGCCTGACCAGATAAACAGATTAAATCATATATTTAAAAGAAAAATTCTTTTATTTAAAAAATGAAATATGTATTTCTTAAAAAAAAATAATAATATCTTAAAAGATTTAATGTTAGATATTAAAGATAAAAAATTATATAAAGTCCCTAGATATAATACTTGACTTTTAAAAAACAATTTAAAAGTACTAAAAATGTTATTTAAAAATACAAGATTAATTAGTTTTAATAGATCTAAATTTAATAATTTAGTTTTAAGTTTAAAAAATTTAGGTTTAAGTAGTCTAATAGAAAAAATTTATGGTAAAAAAGTAGAAATTAAATTAGTTGAATTAAAATCTATTCATTTAAACAGTGATGTTTTTTCATCAGCAGTTGCTTTAAAATTAAGAGATAGGAAAAATAAAGCAGTTAGGATTTTAAGAAAAGCCATTTTACAAATGGTAAAAATACCTGATTTACATACACTTATTACATTTGATGATAATATTCAAACTATAAATAAAAATAATATTTTAAATACTATTAAACAACAAGTAGTTAGTGGTGTAAGATTTGAAGCATCTGGTAGATTAACTAGACGTTTAACTGCTATGAGAGCTGTATTTAAATATAGATATGTAGGAAGTTTAAAAAACATACGTTCATCATTTAATAATAAACCATCAACTATGTTAAGAGGTTATGTTAAAGCTAATTCACAATATACACTTATAAATTCTAAAACACGTAATGGATCTTTCGGTTTAAAAGGTTGAGTAAGTAGTCATTAATGTATTCTATATTTAATCTTATATAGTGAAAATTAAGGATAAATAGACTATTAATTAAATTTTTACATTAGTGATGTAAATTATTCTCATGCTAAAGAGATATTATGTAATATCTGAATATTTTTCTACATGAATAATTATTCAGATAGTTTTATTTATATAGTAATATAGGGAGAAGTAAAAAATTAAATCTCCCTAAAAAAAGAGGTATGTTGCATAGGGCTATGCATCTTGATTACAGATCATAAATATAAGGTTCAACTCCTTCATATCTTTTTGCAAAAATTTTATATGTTAAAGCCTTGTCTTTATAATAAAAACTAATTATTACTAATATCTCTAGTATATATTATTATATAGTAATATATGAAATATATAAATATCATAATTTTATAAAACTTTGTCTATTAAAATTATAGGGATAAAATTTTTAAATAAATGAAGAATTTATAAAACATGTATTTTATAGATTAAACAGTAAAATATTTATTTTCAGACTGAAAAATAAATTCTTATTAGCTTAATGGTAGAACAATATTTTCCTAAATTATAGGTCTAAGTTCAAATCTTAGACAAGAAAATAAACGAGACATTACTTTATATTTTTATACAATGAATTTATCACTAATTTTATTTACCATTGGTATTTTAGGTTTTGTTTTAAATAGAAAAAACATTATTTTAATGCTTATTTCAATAGAAATAATGTTATTAGCTATTACATTTTTAATATTGGTTAGTTCACTTAGCTTTGATGATATATTAGGTCAAACTTATGCTATTTACATAATTGCCATAGCTGGAGCAGAATCCGCTATAGGTTTAGGTATCTTAGTAGCTTTTTATAGATTAAGAGGAAGTATTGCAATAGAATTTAAATAATGTATCTAGCTATAATTATCTTACCACTATTAGGATCAATAGCTTCTGGTTTTTTTGGTAGAAAAATCGGAGTCTCAGGAGCTCAAGTTATTACATGTACAGCAGTTGTGTTAACAACTTTATTAGCTGTAGTAGCTTTTTTTGAAGTTGGATATAATAATATACCTGTGTCCATTGAGGTATTTAGATGAATTGATTCTGAATCATTAAATGTGTGATGAGGATTTCATTTTGATTCACTAACAGTTTCTATGCTTATACCTGTATTAATAGTTTCTTCTTTAGTACACATATATTCTATAGGTTATATGAGTAATGACCCCCATAATCAACGGTTCTTTAGCTATTTAAGCTTATTCACCTTTATGATGGTTATACTAGTTACAGCTAATAACTATTTATTAATGTTTGTGGGTTGAGAAGGTGTAGGGGTTTGTTCATATCTTTTAGTTTGTTTTTGATTTACTAGAATAGCAGCAAATCAAAGTTCTCTTTCAGCCTTCTTAACTAATAGAGTAGGTGATTGCTTCTTAACTATAGGAATGTTTGCTATTTTATGATCATTTGGTAAATTTAGATTATGCTACTGTATTTTCTTTAGCTCCTTACATGAATGAAAATATTGTAACTATAGTAGGAATATGTTTATTAATAGGAGCCATGGCTAAAAGTTCACAAGTTGGACTTCATGTTTGACTTCCTATGGCGATGGAAGGTCCTACACCTGTAAGTGCATTAATACACGCTGCAACTATGGTTACTGCGGGTGTATATCTATTAATGCGTTCATCTCCTCTAATAGAATATAGTTCAACAGTATTAATGTTATGTTTATGATTAGGTGCTATTACAACAGTATTTAGTTCTTTAATTGGTTTATTTCAACAAGATATTAAAAAAGTTATAGCTTATTCCACTATGAGTCAACTAGGGATGATGGTTATAGCTGTTGGTTTATCTTCTTATAATATAGCATTATTTCATTTAGTTAATCATGCATTCTATAAAGCACTGTTATTTTTAGGAGCAGGAGCAGTAATTCATGCTGTAGCTGATAATCAAGATTTTAGAAGATACGGGGGATTAAGATCTTTCTTACCACTTACGTACTCGGTGATGCTAATAGCATCATTAAGTTTAGTAGCATTCCCGTTTATGACAGGGTTCTACTCAAAAGATTTAATTCTTGAATCTGCATACGGACAGTTCCATTTCTCTAGCACAGTTGTGTATTTTATAGCCACTATAGGGGCGATGTTTACAACATTATATTCTGTAAAAGTGCTATATTTAACATTTTTAACTAATCCTAATGGACCTTTAATTAATTATAAAAATGCACACGAAGGTGATATCTTTATGAGCTTACCTTTAATGATTTTAGCTATATTCTCTATATTCTTTGGTTTTATAACAAAAGATGTGTTTATAGGATTGGGTTCAGGGTTCTTTTCAGATAATGCTTTATTTATACACCCTTCTCACGAGATACTATTAGATACTGAATTTGGAGTACCAACTTTATTTAAGTTATTACCTTTAATGTTTACTATTTCATTAAGTGTAATTTCTATAATCTTGTCGGAATATTTATCTAGTATATTAATTTATTTTAAATTATCTAGAACAGGTTATAATATATTTAGTTTCTTTAATCAACGTTTCTTAATAGAGCTATTTTATAACAGATTTATTACAGGTCTTGTTTTAAAACTAGGAGGTCAAACAACAAAAGTTTTAGATAAAGGATCTATAGAATATTTAGGACCATATGGACTAGAAAAACTACTATTAAATATAAGTGGAAATATAGCGAAACTAAATACTGGAGTGATAACATCTTATGCATTGTACATTTTGGTAGGGTTAATCTTTTATATATTATTTAGTTCATATTTTGACAATTTTGTTATTATATTAGCACTGCTTATATCTTTATCTTTAGTTTCATGAAATAGATACTCTGCATAGCTCTTATCTATTGGTACTATTAGATCTTCTATTAATTAAATAGAATTAATATAAAGTATCTATAATCAAAGTATAGGCCACCTATAGATAAATTAGGATTATAATAATTAATCTTTACGGTTAATAGCTAATAATCTTTATCTAAATATAATATAGATAACAATGTATATAAATACATAGTAATGTATGAGATATATTTATAAAATCTTTTACATTAATACATAGTGGTGTAAAGTAAGATATTATTAGAAAAGTTTTAAAAAACAAATATTTACTTATTATATAACCATATTTTATACTTGTAGTAAAAATAAATAACTTTTAACATGTTTAACTTCAATATTATAAGCCCTCTTGACCAATTTGAAATAAGAAATCTTTTTAGCATAGACACACCATTATTAGCAAATATGAATTTATCAATAACAAATATAGGTTTATATATGACAATTGCTGCATTTTTAACATTTTACTTTAGTATTTTAGCTACAAATCATTCAGTTATTACACCTAACAAGTGATCTTTAAGCCAAGAAACATTATATGCTACAATTCATAGTATAGTAATAAACCAAATTAACAATAAAAGTGGGCAAGCTTATTTCCCATTTATGTATGCATTATTTATTTTTATTTTAATAAATAATCTTATTGGTATGATACCTTATAGTTTTGCATCAACATCTCATTTTATCTTAACATTTTCACTTAGTTTCACAGTAGTATTAGGTGCTACAGTGTTAGGATTCAAGGAACATGGATTAAAATTCTTTTCTTTATTTGTTCCAGCAGGATGTCCTTTAGGGTTATTACCTCTTTTAGTGTTAATAGAATTTATTTCATATTTAGCTAGAAATGTATCTTTAGGTCTTAGATTAGCAGCTAACATATTATCAGGTCATATGTTATTAAATATTCTAAGTGGATTTACATATAACATAATGAGTTCTGGATTCATTTTTTTCATCTTAGGGTTATTACCATTGGCATTTATAATTGCATTCTCTGGATTAGAGTTAGGTATTGCCTTTATACAATCACAAGTATTTGTGGTTTTATCTTGTTCTTATATTAAAGATGCATTAGAATTACATTAACTAAATATTGTTAAAATAATTATTATGTTTATAAATAAGACAGAAGAATAAAAACATTGTATCTAATTTATTGGATGTTTATGTAGTTAATGTTGTACAGTAAAAATTTTACTGTTTATTTTTATTAGTCTCTTTACATTTTTATAAATTATTTATATAAATGATTATATTATAATTAACTTGTTATGCTAAAAGAGTTATAACAAATCCCAATATATATTATTGGAAAATTACATTATAAATATAATTTATATTGTAATAATGGGAGAAGATCTTTTTAAAATTAAAGCCCAATAAAAAATATAAAATAGATTATTAAAATATATAATATATCTATTTAACATATATACTTATATTATCCTTTAAAATATACCATATCTATGTGTAATTTTATAATAATTTATGTTTATTCAACCATGCTATATATATCGACAATTATGTCTATTCTTGAAGTGTTAGCCGTAACCGTGCCTGTATTATTAACTGTAGCTTTTATAACGATTGCAGAAAGAAAAACAATGGCTAGTATGCAAAGAAGATTAGGACCTAATGCAGTAGGTTGATATGGTCTTCTTCAAGCATTTGCAGATGCCCTTAAACTTTTATTAAAAGAGTATGTTTCTCCTACACAAGCTAATATCTCTTTTTATTCTTTCTTGGTCCTATTATAACTTTAATCTTTTCATTATTAGGTTATGCTGTTATACCTTATGGTCCTGGTTTAATGATATTAGATTACAATCTTGGTATATTATATCTTTTAGCTATGTCTTCATTGGCTACATATGGGATATTATTAGCAGGATGATCTGCTAATTCTAAATATGCATTCTTAGGATCTTTAAGAAGTACAGCTCAATTAATTAGTTATGAATTAATCTTAAGTTCTGCAATTCTTCTTGTAGTTTTATTAGCAGGAAGTTTAGATATAACTGTAATAATAGAAGCTCAAAGAGCTATTTGATATGTAATTCCTCTATTTCCTATATTCATTGTGTTTTTTATAGGATCTATAGCAGAAACAAACAGAGCTCCTTTTGATTTGGCAGAAGCTGAATCAGAATTAGTTAGTGGGTTTATGACTGAACATTCAGCTGTTATTTTTGTATTTTTCTTTTTAGCTGAATATGCTAGTATTGTACTTATTTGTATTTTAAATAGTATTCTATTCTTAGGTGGTTATCTTTTTGATTTTAACTATTACCTTTATCCATATTTATTGTTATTACAAAATATAGCAGGTGATAGTTATATGTCTTTAACAGATAATGAAACTAATTTTAATATTATTAACTTTGATAATTACAGCACAGTAATAGGAACATTAGTGAGTGGTTTAGTTATAGGAACTAAAGCTTGTATTATGATTTTTGTTTTCATATGAGCTAGAGCTTCTTTCCCTAGAATACGTTACGACCAACTTATGTCTTATTGTTGAACTGTTTTATTACCAATAGTTATTGCATTTATTATACTAGTCCCTTGTATTTTATATAGTTTTGATATTATACCTTGTAATATTCCTGTGTTATAGGTTTACTATCTTTTAGTAATGTATAGTTATAATGTTTAAATATATATTATACTATATTTTACAAAAAAAGGGTATAAGTGGTATAAACTTTATAAG